AATTTCAAGTTTCAAGTGTCAAGTGTCAAGTTTCAAATTTCAAATTTGAGAAGTTCAAATTTGTATTTTAAATATTTTAAAAGAATTAACTTGAAATTTCAAATGTCAAATTTCAATTTTTAAATTAAGTATTTTAAAGTTAGTATTTTAAAATTAAAATTAAAATGCAAGACAATAGTTATATAAAAAAGACTTGAATAAAGCCTTCAAATTTATTCAATAAAATCTAATTGCAACTTAGAACTTAGAAGTTACAATTTACAAATATTAGTGGAGTAACTAATCTATGCAGCCACCTTCTAGGAAGGGTTCTGTTTCAATAAGTTCTCATATGTAAAACTAATAGTTATTACAAATATTAGATGAGTAACTAATTTACACAGCCACCTTCTAGGAAGGGTTCTGTTTCAATTAGTTTTAGAATGTAATCTAATATTTGTATTCTCCTTTAAAATTCAATTCTAATTGTCGCATCATATCAACGGAAACATCCTCCGGTGTTGGCAAACTTGCTAGAAACTCTTGTGACTCTAATTCATCATCACTAGATCCAATTACCGCATTAATCCAAGCTTCTTGTTTGGAACTTAACCTTGGCAAATTATAATTCCTCCTCTCGGCGTTGACCCAGTCTCTAAATAAAACTGATGTTTCCAAACTTTCTTCCGCCAATGAATGTCTATGATCGCCAAGTTGAAACCTTGCCGCACTAAAAGCAACCTCCGATGCAACTGATGAAGCTTGAATAGCCAGAACATCACGAACCATTTTCCTCAAAATTGGAAATGCAACGCTCCGCCTCCTCCACCATGCTAATAAATCTTCATTGCCATCTCCATCCTCCACTGTTTCTAAAGATTGATTAAGATATTCTTCAAAATCATCACAGTTAGTAGAATTAAGACCAAGAAAATCTCGCATATAACTTGAAATTCGAGTTTTACTTTGAGGATTAGAAGTTTGACCAACTTCTCCTTGAGTATTTCATGTAGTTCTATATTTTTCCTACAAAACTTTTGCTTCTACTTTTATGCTAGACTTACACATTTCACAAGTTAGATTTTTTTCCGGTAAAATTTCTAAAGTATCATAAAAAGTGTCAACAAGTCCCTGCACACCTCGTAATTTATAGTCAGGATGAAGTAAAGTAGCAATTAAAAAAATTGAGGAATAGGAAAAAAAAAAAATTAAAAATTTTCAATCATACCTTCAATTGCAACTCTAAATTTTTCAATTTTTTTGTACTTAGAGAATTGAATTGACATAGCACAAATATTTATTAATACTGATGAAATAGTAGGATAATAAATTCCAGAAAACATGGTTGTAGTATCATAAAAAAGTCTTAAAAAATTCTAATAGTTCATTAGTTTCTTCCCAATCTTCTTCACAAATTCTCTCTAATGGGTCGCATTATGAGCATTAAACACCATTTGTACGAGTCCTTTATATTTGTAAGCAACTGAAAACATTTCGTAAAAAGAATTTCACCTTGTTTTAATATATCTAGGAATTTTTCTTGGTCGCAAATCACATAGTACACAACGCTTATTAAATTCTCTAATTCTAGCAACTTTATGAGCATAAAAAATCCAGGCAACAACATATTCAATTTTCACACAACCACATTTAAATAATGAAATACCATCTTGTACAACTAAATTTAATGTATGTGCAACACATCTAACATGAAAAGAATTAACATCAATTGGACATAATCTAGTTTTTACGTTTATATTATTAGATGCATTATCTAATGCAACAAACATTACTTTATCTATAAGCATGTAATAATCTAGAACACTCAAAATATTTGAAGCTAAATATGCACCAATTTTTTTCTCTACACATTCTTTATAACTTAAGATTTTTTTGCAAATTTCAGTTATGATCAATCCAATGTGCTGTAACAGTTAAATAATCACATCTATTAACACTACGACCCATGTCTGAAGTTATAGACACTTTACAATCTAATATGCTAAATATACAACGAAGATATTGGCAATGTTTACCTTAATATACAAAAACATCAGATTTAACAATATTTCTTGAAAAACCTCTATAAGTAGAATTATAAGTTTGTTGAATAAATTCAATAAAACTGCGATATGAAGGAAAACTATAAGGCAAATCACAAACAGAAACCATTTTAGCTAAATTTTCGCGATCTCTTTCCTTATTATATTTACGTTGTGTTAGTGGACCACCGAGGTTAGAAGGATTTAATGTTCCTTGAACCATGTTAGAAGCCCCTACCGATTCATTAACATTAATATCAAAATCATTAACTGGAATTCCTTTTTTTCTATCGGCTAATGATTTAGCTTCTTTATATTGAATCGGCACACAAGATAACAAATGTCTATTTAAGCCCCCCGTCCCACCTTGACCTCCACTCTGTTTATGTTTAAAAGGTTGCTTACACTTATTACAAATAGCAATAGAGTTTTCCTTATCTAAAGTCATAAATTGCCACATGACAGAAGTTTTAGGGTGTTGATACTTCACCTTCTCTCTTGTAGGAGGTATAAGGGGTGGGCGTCCACAATTTTGCTCCGTTGAATTTGTAGTTTCATTTGGAACTTCTCACCAGACTAGTAGGTGTATCTTCTAATTCCTCTTCTCCCGAACCAACTTCTACTTCTTCACCTGAATTTTCATCAAGATAAGGATTAATATCACTATAAATTTGTTGTAAAATTTTATGATCGAGTTGAACATTTGAATCAATATCATAAGAAGCATTATCAACATAAGTAGAATCATTTGTATTAAATCTAACTCTAGACATTGATTTAGAAGAAGTACCACCACATTTACTCTTATTATTTTCCTTACTACTTTTTTTATTAAAATTAAATAATTTACTAATGCCACTTGGTTCTTTCTCTTTTCCTTTACCGGTATCTTTTTTGCTAGAACTCATATTTAATTATATGTAAAGTGTAATATAAAAATAATAATAACACAAAAATTAATGACAAAAAATAAAATATAAATATTATGAAACGAATGTACCAAACGTCTACATTAATAGCAGACGTTATAACCGATTCTTGAAGCTTCTAGTTTGTTGTAACTTGTAATTTGGAACTCCAATACTTGATAGCAAATATGAGAATTATATATATTATGATATAATATGAAAATTTAGAATTGAAATATATGTATTATGATATAATATGAGACTTAAATGGAATAAAAAATTGAGACTTAAGATTGAGAGGATATAGAAAATAGATGATTTTGTAAGAAATAATAAGGGATAGAGGGGTATTTATAATATTAAAAATGGGTTAAAGTGTATTTATGATAACTTGAGGATTTAAATTAAAGTATTAAAAGTAGGGGGTGGTAGGGGGTGTTGGGGAAGTGAAAAAGGTGAATAAATATGTTGGGGGGTCCACTAGCCGTTGCCCCAACGGATATAATTTTTTTTAAAAAAATAAAAATAAAATAAAATTGAGGGGATCCCTCGAAACTGGCCGGTTCAGACGGGCCGGGACCGAGCCGGTTCGACCGGGACCAAAGGGTGAACCGGCCCCTAACCAGTCCCCTATCCCGCATCCCTCCCAACCTGCGAGAAGTTACGGGACCGGGTCCGGCGAGCTGGTTCTCGAACCGGTCGCGGGCTGGGGCGGATCGACCCAGTTCCCCTGCCAGCCCTAGTCTAGTAGTTAAGGTGTTGGGAAAATTCCTTTAGATTGTGTATTCTAATCTTACTAGTCTCATAATTTTATTTTTTACTACAATCATTGACACCCCTTAATGACAATCTTGGGTGTAAGTTCACATTGGACTAGAACACATACAAGTTTTCAATGAAAGTATAACTCCAAAAAAATGATGACATACCTCAACTGAAAAATTTGATCAAGCAAGTTATTTCACCAGAATTCCAGCCCACTTAATTCTAAATTTTCTCAAGGTCTAACATATTACCCAATGATTATTCATCTTTTTCTACTCTTGCAGTGATCACATTAGCCCGATTCATGAAGTTTCTACTCCATTAACTCATTAAAACAATTTTTATGTTAAGATTCAACTTCTATTGAACTCTAGGTCTCCAAAACATCATTATCATGTATTTGAACGTCAATTTCATCCTAAGAAGTGTTAATTAACAACTTATAAGTAAAATATACACTAATTACGTCAACTCATAGGTTTTCTCATAGTTTTCATGAACTCTAGGGTTCTAATCCATAATCCACCATATAAACTCTTTTTGGTCCTAGGGCATTAGAGAATCACTAGGTGGAATAATTAACAAAGTAAGCTTATTTCGAAGAAGAAAATAGCCTGACCTTGGGAAAATTACCTAATCCTTCTCATCTGTCTAATCAAAACAAAATTACTTAATACTCCCTCTGTGTTCATTTTTACTTGTCACTTATTTCTAAAATAGATTTTCATTTTTACTCGTCACTTTTGACATATCAAGAAAAGACAATAACTTTTTTCATGTTTTATCCTCAGCAATAAATATTTATTATCCAAATCATTTTCTAAGACATCATTTAATTGAGGATAGTTTGGTAAAATACATATATCATTAATTATTTTCTTGATGTGTTTGTCAAATCAAACTATGACAAGTAAAAGTAAACCGAGAGAGTACATGGCAGCACAAACACTAGAGTCATCAAAAAAATAAATTAAATACATACGAGCTTGTAAAGTTATGAACATAATTGCAGGGGTATCATCTACATATTTGATCTTGATATGACTATCATTAATTTATCTTCCAGTAACAACTCTTTACATGATCCTTCACTATTTTCACTGCTAATATTATGTCACTTGCCAATAAGCCAAGATATGAAAGTGATATCTCTTCTGGATCTTCTAGAGTACTATAGTTTTCACCCTGTAAATTAGTATGTATTAACAGAAGGAAAAAATAAAATTTTTGAATAGCCATCACTTTCATATCTTGTTGTATTGGCAAGTATAATATTAGCAAGTTTTGTGAGCACCCGTATAGTAGATCAAAAGTATAAAATCAATCTAGATTTGTAGTTCACTAAAAGTAAAATTTGTGAGCCTATTTCAGTGGAAGAAGATTTCGCCTCAACTAACTACTGTGGCGGTGCAATCTCAAGAACGTTTAGATCCTTGATAGCTTTGATTTGGAAAATCGAAAGACCAGCAAAGGGCAAAACAAATGCAATATAGATGAAGGTTGGAACCTCCATGAGTGACATTTTGGCTCCTTTGACACAGTGGTATATTCGAAGAGCAAAGCAGTGAAATCCTTCTATCAATCGTGAGCTGGCAATAGTGATGCTGTTGCTCTTTTCAATGATTCGCTGGCTTTCACCAGATCGGATTCTGAATGAGCTGCTGAGACAAATAATCTAATTCCAACTGGCAGCTTACATTTATCAAGAGTTGATCTCTTTGAAGTCACAATGAAGACACCATCTTCCTTCAAGACCTGCAGAGGATTAGATGGGTGCACGAAACAAACTCGTGAGGTAACTCTAGATGATGAGTTCGAATTTACATATGGCAAAGAAATGAGCATTAGGCTAATAACTTACATGATCAGCTATATCTTCAAGCACTTGTAAATCACCCTTCGAAGAACCAGTGGACTGCTTTAATGCAAGGAATATAATGGGGGAGACCGGATCACTGACTATCTCTAAGCCTTTTATATCTGACAAACCTGAAGTTGTACAAAAAAAATGTTTCTTTAGACTCCCATAATGGGGATAAGGAAGAAGAGGAAGGCAATCGATTAGGGACAAAAACCTTTAGTCAACATAGCAATATTTTGCCTTAGTTTGACAAGAAGTTCAGGTTTTTCTTCAACGATATCAATAGCCTTAATTGTAGCACTTGCTAAGTAAGGAGGCAGTGAAGCAGAGAAGACATAACCAGAACTACTGAGACGCTGTCAATGCAGAAAAATAAACCATTAACAAACGATGGGTGGAAAATATAAGAGATACAAGTGCAAGAAATGAAAATCATGAAAATGGAATTATCAGGGCCTGAAGATAAACTAGTACTACTCAAAACCAGTGGATAGAGTACACCTTAGTACCTGGTGATCAATGACTCTAGCATTCCCTGTGCAAAACCCACCTTCTGTGGCCAATGCATGTCCCATTGCCGCAGTTATTATATCTATCTTGTCAGACTACATTTGGATAATTCCATAAGAGGGTGTACACAGAGATACAAAGTTAAATTGACCAAATAATGTGATGAGCATACCGGAACTTTACAATGTTCAGTTAGACCTCTACCAGAACTGCCAAGCACACCAATGGAATTGCTCTCATCCAACAACACGCGGAATCGATATTTTTCCTTCAGCTTGATGATTTCATCTAATGGAGCTATTTTGCCAGAATTCTGCAAATTACAGTAAAAAAATATCTGGCATTACAAAGTACAATTTTTTTTGAGAAGTTCAAAGTACAATTTCCTTAGTAGAGAAGTGCGGTGAGGAAGTTTAACAGGCAGCTACGGAACAATGAAGCAACAAGTTGTTTATCCCCATTAAGAAAATGTTCTGTTGATGATAAGAAGGCATCAAGATCACAATTTGTAACCCTAAACCATCCTCCTTGATGATTTACTTCCTTACAAAACCTTGGAAATGATTTAGGACACCGTGGATTCTCACAAGTTATCCAATTAACTTAAAGAAATTTTCAAACACCATAATTGGACTCGGTATATTCTGCATCCTCTCCAGCCCAGTTTGAATGAGGCTCAATATTTGCATATATATGCCTAGAGTTAACCTCTCCCATATCCTTACACTAACAACTTTTGTTTCAACTACCACTATGCCGCGAAACAAAAGAAATCTGAGTTACTTGTTCATATCAGTATGTTACATTAACATAAACAGTTGATACCTGATACACAGCTTCAACAACAATATATCGCCGTAGCTTCCTAGCTTGCTTGTTTTCTTGGGTAACTTTCTCCAAAGTATTTTGTAAGGACTCCATATTGTTATGCTTAAAATATATGATGGTGCTTCTAGAAAGCTGAAGGCCGTTTTGAATTCCCCAGTGGACACCTTCATCCCTACAGGAAAAAGGCAGATTGCAGAACAATGTCAATAATAGTGAGATTTGATGACAGGTGGCAATCTCTGGATTATTTATTTTAACATCAGTACCAACATTAGCAAATGGGACACTAATAAATTTTTTGACTCAACTAAAATTAAGTTCAAGGAGTAATGTAAACGTTTTAGGACTGACGTTCATTAGGTGTTGCAACCTAAAAAGAAAAAACTGAAAGGAGGGAAAGTGTATTACCACAAATGTTTTAGGAGGAGGTGCATTAGGTGTCGCAGCCTAACGGCAAAAACTGAAAGGAGGGAAAGTGTATTACCACAACCCCCATCCAAAAAAAGATAGAAAGAACAGAAAATGACTTGTTACCTTTTTTTTTTTTTTAAGGAAACGAGCTAATCTATAGACTATAAATACATATAACACACCCTTCAGGGTGGCCCAGTGGTTTGGGCTTGGGACTTCCATGTTGGAGGTCTCAAGTTCGAAACCCCTTGCCAGTGAAAGCAAGGGGTTTACCTTCTGGGTCGAGCTCGTCGCACCGGGCTTGCCTAGTGTGGGTTACCTCTCCTATGTGGTTTGCGAGCTATTGCATAGGAGCGGGGTTTTTACCCTGTGCGCACCCAAAGGGTAGCGGCTGCGGGTTTCCCTTGTCATTCAAAAAAAAAATACATATAACACGATAAGTGCACTCGTGAAGAGATTTATAAGCTAAAATCCATTTTGTAGCTGAATTATGTTTCTACATAATTGATTATGTGAATTCATGAGAAAACACTTTACAACAACATACCCAGTGAAGGGGAGTGGGAGTCTGGGAAGGTAGGATGTACAGACCTTACACCTACTTTTCTTTTATGGCCTACTTTTATCTCTCCTAACTCTTTCTATCAACCTCTCACACCTCCTAACTGACGCACCTGCGCACCTCCTCTCCACAAACCCAAATCATCTCAATCTCGCTTCCTTCATCTTGTCCACCACAGAGGTCACTCCCACTTTTCCCCGTATAGCTTTGTTCCTAATCATATCCTTCCTTGTATGCCCACACATCCATTTGAGCAATCTCATCCCTGTTACCTCCATCTTCCGAGCATAGGTGTTCTTGACTAGCTAACATTATGCTTCGTACAACATTGTTGGTCTAATCACCACTACGTAGAACTTACCTTTAAGTCTTGGCGACACATTCTTATCACACAAAACCCCGGTTGCGAGCCTCCATTTCACCCACCCTGCACCAATAAGATGTGCGGCCTCATCATCAAAGAGTCATTCGTTTTGACTAAGTTCACCGAGGGATAACATACAAAATTAGTTGAAGTAAAAGTTTTTGTCTAGGCATACAAGCATCAAGATATTTTGACTCCCTCTATCCATATTGAGAGACAAGCCAAAAAGTAATAAGAGATTCTTCCCAAATTACATTATTCCCTCAAGTCAAAAGGTTAACGCCCTAAATTTTAGGTTACAGCACAATAATATCCTTAGAACTCCTAGCAAGCAGTATGTTGATGAAAGACAGAATGTATATCTACATACCAGATGCTGAGGGAGAAAAGAAAAGATGAGTAATAAGAAAGACATTCAGGAAATGAAGAAGGAGAAGGATTATAGAGAGTAACTGATGGGCATTTGGTGACACACACAGTACTACCTCTATTTCTATGGAACGGAGACTTTAGGCACTCAGAATAATTTTTCAAGAAATGGAAAGAGATGGCCCCAAAAGCTCCTAATTAGCCACTGCAACCTAGATTCATTGAATAAAGGTTTATTAAACATGTATTCATAATTGATATCCACTTTGACAGTAAAAATTCTAGTATGGTATATCTGATACACACTAAAATGGTTAAATATAGGATGGATGTGTAAGAAGGGTTCTATCTTGGAGTATAGCTCTTATCATTTTACCCCAAACTTCTCCAATTTCAGTCAATCTTATCATATGTAGCAGTGTGAAAGCTATTGATTATTCAGCGTCCTGGTTTGCAAGATCCATCTTTTGTAACATGGCACTATAGAAAACCAAGGGATTATTAATGGCTAAACATGAACAATGTCTCAATTCAAATAAGTTGGATCGATTTCATAGAGTCCTCTGATTCCATCCCCCTCTACTCGAGCCCAGTTCATTCCAATTAAAAGTGAAAGGACCGTCTTTCGTCATCCCTGCCGCTTTTTCAGATTTTGTATTGAATAATGAATACATGGAATAGTTAGGAGTTAGGACCCTTCAATCTGTTTGAGCCTAGTTCAAGCCAAACCCACCCCTTATTTTATGAAGGCTGGAAAGAATTTTCCAGATTTGGAGAGATACGATAAGTCTTCCATCCCAGATTCCATGGCTGAGGCCATCTAGTTCACTGGTTTTACTAAAAAGGATTCTATAGAAATAGAGGTTCTCTAAATGTCATCTTTATTCTACGATAACATACATTTCATTAACCAACCAAAATCCCTGTCAAATACTGAACTTAATTTAAGTGTCAATAACTAAAACTTAATTCCAAGTAGTTGATATTACCTCTATGATGTGTTTTTATAATAGAAAAGGTGCAAAAAAAAAGCGACAAAGTTTGTGAAGCTTGAAGCAGAAAGCAAACTATGATTAAAGAAATGAATACTTGAGAACTTGTCACTTCAATACCAGACAAGACATTGATTAGCTGCAAATGGGTCTTCATTATGAAACATAAAGTTGAAGGCTCGATAGAAATATCCAAACTACGATTGGTGGCTAAGGGATTCGCTCAAACTTATGGAGTGGATTATCAGAAGATATTGTCCCAGTTACTAAAATGAACACTAAGAATGTTGTCTTGCGCATCCAGTCTTGACTGGTACTTCCAATGGTTTGATGTGAAGAATGTGTTTTTTCATAGAAACTTAATAGAAGAGGCGTATATGGTGATTCCTATCGGATTCAATACTGAACAAACTCAAAGAAAGGTGTGCGGACAGAAGAAATTCTTAGAAGGACTAAAGCAATCCCCTAGAGCTTGGTTTGACAGATCTGCTATGTGGTGATCTCCTTAGATACCAACAAAGCAATGTTGATCATACCTTTTCATAAAACATCAAAAAGATAGAAATGACATGAAATGACAAAGATGAGATGACCTGATTGAAGAGTGCTAAATCAAAAAGAGGAATCTCTCAAAGGAAGTATACTTTGCATCTCTTGAAACAAACTGGTATGATAAGGTGCAACAGCAAAATCACTCATTGAAAGCAATTACAAATTACGACAGGGGTTGGAGAGTGAGTTGATAAGGAGAGATATCAGAGGTTGGTTAAAGGCTCATTTATCTCTCTCACACTAAACCAGACACAGTCTATCTAGTCAACTTGGTAAGTCAATTTATGCATGAACCCGAGATTCACATATGCAAGTTGCCTTTCACATTTTGCGGTATATAAAATTTCATCCAAGGAAACGTTTGCTTTCTCCAAACAAAGTAACCTCTAGATAAAAGCCTTTACATACACAGATTGGACTGGATCTATAGATGACAAAAGATCTGCATTCGGTTATTAAACACTCGTAGGAAGGAACTTAAGTACTTGGAGAAGTAGGAAGCCAAGTGAGTTGCCAAATCTAGTGCAAACGCAGAATATAGAGCTATGGCCCAAGGCGTTTATGAACTTCTTTGGCTATATAAGTATTGGAAGAATTGAGTTGCCTGAAAAAAGGAGGAACTTTCCTTGTACTTCCACTACAAAGCCACAGTCATTATAGCTTATAATCTTGGTCAACATGACCGAATAAAACATGTTATAATCGATCGACACTTCATAAAAGAAAAGGTTACTAATGGTACCTTGAGTTTGCTTCATGAACCGTCAGAAAAACAACTAGCGGATATGCTTACAAAAGGTCTCAACAAAAGAATTTTTCATACTTTAGTTATCAAGTTGGGCATGAATCTCTACACTAACTTGAAGGGGTATTGATTGATTAGCTTGATTCTAGGAGATCTCCTAAGTTAATTGTAGGATAACAGAATAAAATATTTTATTTTATTGTAATTATATATCTTTCCTTAGTCATAGAACTCATTCTATAACTACTCCTTCTCATGGGATGTAAAAGTATACAGAAATACAAAGAGCCCCTTTCTCAAAAGTTTAAGATCAAGTTACGCAATGGAGGGAAAACGAGATTTTGGCAAGAATATGGATGATGCATTCTCCATAAATGACCAAGTATCAGGATCTCCAAATTTTTACTAACACTGCAGGTTCTCTTGTCTCACAGTGCTGGACTGGTAATGTTGCAAGGTCCTTAATGTGGGTGAATCGGCTCTATCAAATGGCCATGGAAACGAATCTGGAAGTCTAGCTCGTTAAAAATTAACTGCTTTATGTGGTTGTTGTCTCACGATGCATGCCTAACACATACAATCTACAGAAAAGAGTTATAATTAGCAGCAGGTGCTTCATCTGTAAGAGTCAAGTGGAATGCAGCAGCCTGCAGCCTGCAGCCAGCAGCCACCTTTTATTCATTGCCCAGTGGCTGGTCAGTTGTGGACTCTCTTGTTTATCTTTTTAGAATTTCCGATGTGATGCCACTCATTGTCAAAGAGCTATTGCTCTGTTGGGACTCCAGAGATAGCAGCAACCACCTGAGAAGATTGGAGCATTACCTGCCCTGAATGTGCTGGAGTATATGGAAGGAACGAAATGCCAGATGTTTTGAAGGAGAGTCGGTTAGAGTACAGCAGCTTAAATCAACTGTTTATGGCTTGTTGCCTTTTGGTGTAATCTACAGGATGTAAAGAATGAAAAAGTATGTTGGCTTCAAGGGTTCCCTGCAAATGTAGGTCTTTCACAGCAGAAGTCCTTTTTGTTTTTGTACGAAAGGTGTCCTGATACTGGTCATGACTTAGCGCCCGCTCGGTGCTAGGTAATTTCTCATTTTCAATATACAAGCTACTTACCTTCTCAAAAAAGTAACAACAATTATGGACATAAAAATAGAATAAGCATAAGGTCCTCCTATTTCATTTCCCCTCAAACCTCATATGGGAATCAACTTGTTAATTTTCACAAAAAAGAAGAAGAAGATAATGTGATCCTACATAAATAAATACCAAGAAACTAAAAAAAAATATTGACAAGGCAAAATGGAGGGATGGCAAAAAAGCAGAACATAAAAAAAGTTTTAGGGAGAAAGACATGGAAACTGATCTAATATGACCCCGATCTTGTATGCATAGCCCACATTTGTGCCTTTGGTACTTTGTTCAGAAAAATCAATGTCATTTCAATATCTTCATTCTATGTTCAAACTAAAACCTTGGAGTACAGATGAAGCAATGACTAAAGAATGTAAATACTCACGCAATAACAACATCACCCTTTTTGCAAAATGCTGGAATTGCACTGAACATCGTAGAAAGTCCATAAGAATACAGTATGGAATCTGGAGTTCCCAGAAACTTTGCTATTCTGGCCTCACAATCAAGGTGGACATCTGCATGAAATGTAAAAATAATAAGTTGATTTTTGATGAGAATGAAGGAGAGGAATGCAATGGAACTATAGAATAGTACGTAGATACAAATGATCAAATTATACCTATTGTGCCATAGAATCCCCGGGGACCACAAGAACCTACACCATACTTCTCTAGAGCTGTAGTACAAGTCTCCTGCCATTCAACATTAGGTGTGAATGTTCAGTTCTACCAAAGAACTAAAACAACATCACAGCTAGCAAAATAATAAAGAAAACCTTACTAGTAATTCTTGGCTTCCTAATAATCCAAGGTAGTTTGCTGAGGTAAAGTTCACTACGTCTTTCCCATTAACTATAGTATGAGGCCCTGCAGCACTGGAAAAACACACGATATGAGAAGCAATACATCAAGCTATTCATTCCAACAAGTTTGATAACTGGAACATCTGAAATCATGAACTTGAACAATAGGTAGAACTGTAGAAGAAAAGCTCTTCTAACAATAATTGCTGCTTCAATGGATCTTACTAACATTACTTATCAGCTCATAACGTAAAGAAACTGTTTATAGCTTGTGCTTAGCATATTTTAGCCATTGCACTAAGGGGTTGTTTGGCACAAAGATTAATAATGCAGGGATTAATAATGTTGGGATTAGTAATGCAGGGATTAATAGTGCAGGGATTAGTAATGCAGAGTTTATTTTTATCAAGTGTTTGGTTCATTGTTTCCCACCTCATCTTGTGTTTGGATTAAAACTTTATAAAAAAACATCTTTCCAATTATCCTCTTGAATTATTATGTAATTGGGTTAAGGTAAATAATTGCCGGACAATATTATTTTTTCATGGCCTTCTAACTAGCTGTGAGAAGAACAATTTTGTTTTCATGTTTGCCTTTTTTTTTACTTAAATTATTTGAGGATAAATAATTGTCATCTTAGTAGATTGATCACTTACAAAATGTCAATTTTCAATTTAAAAAAAGATAAACTATCAACTTTTAAAATTGAAAAGACGGTAAACAGTAGTAAAATTGAATAAACCAGGTACATTTACACATAAAAATTGTAAGTTATAGTTTTAATATGTATGCAATTTTATAAATTGTTCAAAATACAAATAATTAGAAAACCACACAAATATATATATATATATATATATATCAACAAATTATACATTCAATTAAGATCGCAAGCGTCATGTGGTGATATATTTGCCTTTTTAATTAATTAATGTTAAACAATTCACATTTCAATTATTGTATTAATTTGTATTGGATTTATTTAGTAACAAACAACTCTCTCTAAATAATTAGCTAATTTATTTAAATAAATTTACTAGTACAAATATAAAACATAAAATCAAAAAAATAATTAAAATGATTTGAGGGATATTTTTGTCTTTACATAGAGTTATCCCATGGTATTATATCCTATGTATTACTAATACCTCCAATTGGAAGGTATTAGTAATATACCCTATAATACCATGTAGGAGGTATAACTAATCCATAGATTAGTTATACATAGACCCAAATTCCTACCAAACATAGTACTAAATAATATCATACATAATACATGGACTATTTGTTTTAATACGGCCTACCAAACGACCCCTAAGTCAACTCTAGATAAGACCTCTGAAAACTACTATTCATATTTTTTGCATTTTGGTGTAACACACTAAATGTATATGATACTGATACCATATTGGAGTTCCTTGATTCCCAATATTTGTAGAGGCAGCTAAGCTTTTTGCAACACATATTCAGCACCATCTCAATGCTGTTGCATGGATAGAATAAGCTTTAATTATCAAATAACAGCTGAATCTAGCAAGCAAGATCACAGCACAACAGTTTTAATTGTTTTTATCCTTATGGCCATCTAATAATCATTTAGTACAAGATTAAAACCCAAGAAAATACTAAAACTGGAGCTCTAAATATAATCTACTTTTAAATGATGTAAAACTGGGATGAGCGATGCAGAGAACAGAAAAATATCACTAAAGAGAATGTAAAGCCTTTTAGAGTTGTCTTTTCTGTCATATAGGTCTATTTGAAATTTCTAATTCTCCAAGTGCACACAGTTGAATAAAAGAAAGAGAAACCTGACTGAAATCATCTGAATAAAATGCAACTTTTCTTTATAAGGCTGAACAAAATACAACCATCAGTGTTTAAAAGAAGGAAAGAGAAACAGCATTCCCACCTTTCTAAAACTGGAGGTTCACGTTTCATCTCATCAGTGATGGAAGGGATAAGCGGTTCTGGGGCCCATTCTTCACATAATTCATCAATTTCCTGAAAATCTTAAACGCATTCATCAGCGCGGTTGAAGTGTGAAGGAAATTTTTCTTTGCATTTTTTGTCTTTGCTTTCATTACAGACAAGAGGTTGGGGCAGGGGACGCAGCATGATTTAACTGACTCTCATTTTGATGCATATGGAATAAATCTAAAGGGCTTTTCATGTGAAACACACACAAAAGGAAAGGATGCTTAAACAAAATTGAAAGGACTCCTTGTTTTGATCAGTAAATTGAAAGGACTCCTTATGCATATCTTGAACATAGATGATTCTGGAGCATGCATGTTCCTGTCTTGAGCCTAAATGCCAATTGATGTATAACTGCGAAACTTATACCAGCATCACGTATTGAAGCTACTTTAGAGAGCTAAACATTACGATTAGCAGAAGCTCAAGGAAATGATATAGTTTGATACATTTTACAAGTTATTCTACAACCTTTACTGATTGCTATGGTTATAACCTCAAGATTTGACAGTAGTTCAGTGCATCACTCAGTGTAAACACCTAGCCTCAAAAAAAATTCAGCCACAGGAGATTTATATCCAGCAAATTAATACACATCAATGTTGTAGGTGCGGTAGATTTGTTCAAGACGAGAAATCCTTTCTTTTGCCTTTCCCAATATATAATTAGAAATGAGTAATAATTTCTAGAATAAATATCACCATCTTAGTTAAACGCCAACCCAGTAAAGTTAATCCTCAGTTGACACAGATATAGAAGTTAGAACTATAACCAAGAACGAATACAAATTAAAAGAGCATAGTAATCTTAAACAATTATGAAGACGAAATATCCACAGGGTCATTGACATTTGAAAATGCAGATTTATGACTAACCTTCTTCGTCAATGGTCTTTTAGGTGGTTTGTAACTCTTCTGAGACAGTAGGAAAAGGATGACTACCAGGAGAAGACCTTCCACAAATAGATGTCCTACAGGAAAATCAACAAAATATATCTAATGCACAACATAGAATCTAAAACCAAAGAGGTGATTACCATCCAAAGAATGAAGAGACTACCTCCAATGTTGACCTCAAATATCACAGCTCTAGCGAATTGAAATTCAAAAACTGATCTCACCCAATCAGATGTAGCTCCCACTACATTTGCAAGTATTGACACTGTTGAATCCATTATCTAAACCTGGAAAATACAGACGACGGTGAAAAACTTACCCACATAAGAAAAATCAGGATGATTTAATGGTTTTTTCCACATTCTCAATACTTTGTCATGCCCAGGCGATATAAATTAAAACCAAATGAACAAGTTAGTGATGCAGTTGATTAGAAAAGAGAAATACTCTTAGGAAGAGGATATTCAATAATATAGCACAAAGAATATATAACACAAATTATAACAATGATTTTCATTTACACATGAGATCTTCTCGTTTCTTTTTCAGGATTAGTGAATCATTTACACAAATATCTTCTTCTTCTTCTTTTTTGAGACGTCAATCATTTACACAGAAATCTTCTATTGCAAATCTTCCTGTTTTTAATAACTTCTCACTCTCATCCATTCTCTGAGAGAGCTTGCCTGATATCAACTTGAGTATTTCATGATATTTGATTCCAGCGAACGTGTCATATCTAAGATAACAATATCAATACTAATTTTACAAGAGGACTATACTTTATCATCAAGCATTGAAGTACTCAAAATATATTAGTTTGTGGTTCTTTCAACTTTTTATATGTAGAGTACGAAAATTCTTGTATTACATGGTTTTCATTGTATTCAATATCCTGCACAATTATGAAAGTCTTATTATTATTACTTAAGCATGACAACGAAACAATCAAATCATTGAACATGGAATAACGAAATTAACCAGGTTGGACCACTGCCCATTAACTAAACAAACTGATAATCTGCACATTCACATAACAAATAAACAAATTCAGTCCATCATATGAGACTGAAGATAACTATCAATGCAACTATTAGTGTGATTATTCCAACTATATTGGCAAGAAGCATAAAGATTGACAAGCAATATCCTCCTGCTTGTGGATAAAACGAAACCACTAAAACATGGTGATACACATATGCATTACATAAAAGTAAATCACCTAAAATAAGCTAAAGAACCAGAAAACACAAGTTTTAACAGAAAAAATGATTTTTTTTACAAGTACTGCTGATTGATTGATCCTCTTCACATTCAGTGGCCTCTTGAATTAATCTACTAACTCATTAATGATTATGCACTAAGCGGATCCTTCAATGTACATTCATCAATTAATAAAAAAGATTAATAAACCCCAAACTGAGATCTTGATCAGATATTAATACCCATTATGCTGTTCTCAAAAAGGCTTCTTTTTTTATGCATAAAGTACCCATTTAAATCTTTTTAGTACCCATTATTCAAGAACTCACTCTCATTCAAAAGAATACGAGTTGGTAAAAGTTGTTACCTAAGATTTAAGAAGCAGGGCAGATGAGATCCTGAAATATTGAAAATCTCTGAAAGCAGATCGTTACTAGGGTGAAATGGAATTTCGAAAATTCTGTAATCAAGAAACCCAGATGAAGAAAGAAGAGGGCGGCTTTGGTTGAAGATGGAAATTGCCGGGAAATGTGAGAGGCGCTAAAATGCAAACATCTTATGGGACAAACAAACAAAAGCTTCAACAATCAAACGCTGGTCAAAGGTGGTGGCAATTTCGCAACTTGAGCATGTCATTGTTTCAATTTTTACATAAATTATTAGTTTACTTGTGCTCTAAAAATATTTTTCTATTTAATAAGTTAAATTTAGATAATGTTAATCAAGTTAAGGATTGTTTTTAACACCATCAATAATTTGAGCATGAAATTAATAATTCGAGTTTAGAGATATTCTCTCTTTCAGTTTTGTATCATGACATCTCTTTCCTTTTTTTATATACTAAGAGCCTGTTTGGATGGGCTTTTAAACTGATCAAACTGGCTTAAAAGTCAATTTTTGACTTATTAGAGTGTTTGACAACTATCAAATTGACTTATTTTAAGCCAAAAGCTAAAAGCTAGGGGAGGGGAGCTTCTTTTTTTTTAACTTAAAAGCCCTTTTATGTTGACCAAATATATTACCTTTTTGCCCTTAATTCTTTTATACAATTTCCAAATTGCCCATATTAAATTATTATTATTATTATTATTATATATTATAATTATTATAATAATAATAATAATTATTATTATTATTACTATTACTATTACTATTATTATTTTTATTATTATTATGTTTATTATTATTATAATAATAATTATTATTATTATATTAATATTATTCTGAATCTACTGCTGAAGAAAATATTCTTGCGAACACTTTGAATACTGATACGAAACAAAATATGTTTTTAGGAATGATGCAAATTGTTACAGCTCATAAATGGTATGTTAAATGTACTATATTAATTGATAATACTTTTTCTATAAGTAACATTGCTATGATTGATAGTGGCGCTGATGTGAGTTGCATTCAAGAAGGTCTTGTACCTACTAAATATTTTGAAAAAACAACCCATATGGTTAAATCAGCGTCTGGTCATGCTTTAGATATAAAGTATAAATTATCTAATACTCGTATTTGCCAGAATAAAGTTTGTATTCCTTACTTCTTTTTCTTAGTAAAAAATTAGTTATACCCTCCTATTATTCTAGGAACTCCTTTTATAAATGCAATTTATCCTTTTACTAATATAAATGCTAAAAGATTTTCTGCTACTTATAAAAATCAAGATATTAGTTATACTTTTATCACCGAGCCTATTTCTAGAGATATTAATGCTCTAATTGAAATGAAACAAAAGCATGTTGATTATTTACAACTTGAGATATTTAGTATGAATATATTCGATACTTTAAAATCTGCTAAAATACAGGAAAAAATTAAACTCATTTCTGAAAAAATGGCCATTGATATTTGTGCTGATCATCCTAGTGCCTTTTGGAATCGGAAAAAGCATATTGTAACTCTTCCATATGAAGATGATTTCTCTGAGGAAAATATCCCTACCAAATCTCGTCCTTGTCAGATGAATACCGAATTAGTTGAATTCTGCAAAAAGGAAATTGATAATTTATTACAAAAGGGTTTGATAAAGCCTTCCAAATCACCATGGTCGTGTACTGCTTTTTATGTTAATAACGCAGCAGAAAAAGAACGAGGCGTTCCCAGGTTAGTTATAAATTATAAACCTTTAAATAAATTTTTAAAATGGATTAGATATCCTATTCCTAATAAAAGAGATTTATTAACCAGATTATATGATGCTAATATCTTTTCAAAATTTGATTTAAAATCTGGATATTGGCAAATCCAAATTTTTAGAGACCATTCTTATAGAACGGCATTTAATGTTTCGTTTGGACAGTACGAATGGAATGTAATGCCTTTTGGGTTAAAAAATGCTCCCTCAGAATTTCAAAAGATAATGAATGATATTTTCAATCCCTATTTGGATTTCATCATAGTTTATATTGATGATATTTTGGTATACTCAAAGACTCTTGAAATGCATATTAAGCATTTAGACATTTTTAAGAAAATAGTTATTCAAAATGGTTTGGTCATATCTAAACCTAAAATGAGTCTTTTTCAAACAGAAGTTAGATTTTTGGGGCATTTGATTTGTCAAGGAAAAATGACTCCTATTCAACGATCTATTGAATTTGCATCAAAATTCCCTGATATTATTACTGATAAGACGCAATTGCAGCGGTTTCTGGGAAGTTTAAACTACATTTCCCCATTCTACAAGAATTTATCTCGAGATTTAGCTCTGTTATATGACAGGCTAAAAAAGGATCATAAAAAGCCTTGGACCAATAGTCTCACAGATCTTGTAAAGACTATTAAAGAAAGAGTTAAATCTTTACCTTGTTTAACCCTTGCTAATCCTGCTTGGCCAAAGATTGTAGAGACGGATGCATCTAATATTGGGTATGGAGGTATATTAAAACAAATTAATCCGCATGATAAAAATGAATATCTTATTCGATTTCATTCAGGAAAATGGAGCGATGCTCAGAAAAAATATGCGACGGTAGCCCATGAAATGTTAACTATCGTTAAGTGCGTTTTAAAATTTCAAGATGATTTATATAATCAAAATTTTTTGATAAAAACTGATGCTCAGTCAGTCAAGTATATGTTTGATAAGGATTTTAAACATGATGCGTCTAAGTTAATTTTTGCTAGGTGGCAGGCACAATTAGCCCCTTTTGATTTCGAAATTCAGTATAAAAAGGGAAGTGATAACTCCCTCCCAGACTTCTTATCAAGGGAATATCTTTCTTCTGATGAATTTTCTTGACTTCTTTCCTGATAAAGATTTGGTTACGATTTTGAAGGCAGTTCCTCTTATTAGAGATTTAAAGGAACTTATATTATGGAAAATTATAGACGGAATGGTGATTGATATTGTCAATAATTACATGATTGAACAAGAGCTTTATGAAAGATTTTATTGTGATGAAGTTTATAACCTCTTGGATGATTAAAAATATAACTTCTTGAATGATTAAAACTAAATGCTATGTTTGCAGGATGGATCCTCCTTGGATAACCAAGGCTAGAGGAAAAGGCAGTTATACTCGCGGAAGGGGAAGATCATCCCCAAGTTCATCAAGATCATCATACGGATCTTCATCATCTAGTACTCCAATTATACAAAAGGGAGGAATGAGTTTATATAACTTAAACTCTAGAGCACAAGAAAGAGCTTCATCATCAATACATCTGGAAGATATTCCAGAAAGTGATCCATTATATGCTAAACTACAGGAGTTTATAACTCAAAAGCAGGGTGATTCTTTTGCTTCAATCGCCAAAGAAGAAGTTGATGATATCAAAACATATGAAAAGGTAGAAAAAAGAGAAATGATATTTCTCTTAGAAAACTCTGACATACAGAGAAGAGAAGAACCTTGGAAGATATTCCAGAGGTATTTAGTTAATGGGCTTTATTTCCCGGGTGAGTCATACAAAACTCGGAAATATTATGAGACTCTGCTAATAAGCACAGGTGTTGAATTTCAACATTTTTCAGGATATAATACAAGTGAGAATGTTTATAACTTCTCTAAAATGATTATAAAACACATCATTCATATTGAAGATTGGGGTATTTCCTCAATGACTGAAAGACAATTCAGTCTAAACAAAGTCATGGTAAGCTTTACCTATTGGGATTATATTCAGGCATTTAATAAAGTTCTCTGTTATAACAATGAGAGGCATAAACATACTTGGTTTATAAAAGTATGTGCCAAGATATTTGCGAATCCTATACCAAATTGGTTTTTAAACTGGTGGTCATACCATGGGCCAACAATAAAAATATTGCCCGAACCATTTCACAAGTTATACAAAGAATGGGTCAAGGTTTCCCCAGATCTCAACAAATTATATCATCAAGAACATATTTGTTATTTTCAACAAATTGAACAGATATACTTTTTTATAGAATTCTCTGTTCCATGGATTCATAAATGGGTTCCGGAAGTAGATTTTACTGAGGAACAAATCCCTTGTCTATACAGAACTTATTATAATAATTTTTGGGACAAGTTGATGAAAAAAGATCCTCAAACAAAGTCCATATACGGACAAGAACTGCTGGATTTAATTACAAAAACCGTACACGATTATAAATCAATTCCTAATAAAGGAATCATGACTGATGACTCGACCTCCGTAAAACATATGGCTAGAAAAATTTCTAATCATGATGAAGGAGAGCAAAATGAAATGATTATGAGATATCTAGAAGAAGTCAAGAAGAAGATTCTTCTAAATATAAGTCATTACGCAAAATCAGATTCTTCAATGCGTAGTGAAACAAGTGAAGATATGCACGAAGCTCAACAATATGAAGAAGAAAGTCCAGTGGATGCACTGAAGAAAGCCGAAGATTTTTTGGCAAAATTAAAAGACAAAGTGTAAAGCTTAGGCGCGTCGGTAGAGGGCCCGCGCTACTGTAGCAACACTGTTCACCAACAGTAAATACACTGTTAGCAGGACCCAGATAGGGGCCCAGTATCCTGTACATAGATGCTTTCTTTTTTCTAAAAATAAGTTTGTTTTTCTTTAAAGAAGAGCAGGTTTTAGAAACCCTCTTCCCTTCTTTCTTTCTTCCTTTCTCTCTCCCCACTTGTAATATATTTTCAAGTATTGTAACCTTACCGGACTTTGGCCGGAGGAATAGTAAAGTGTGCTATTTGCTACAAGGTACTTCCTTTTATTTTCAAGTTTTTATTTCTGAGTTAAGCCGTGACTATGTCCGGCTAAAAAATTATATCTATGCCGGATAACTAACTTCTCTTTTATATAGACCATGAATGGATCTAAGCTTTATTTAAATATAGAAGAATTTTAGTATGGCTTCTCGACTTGGTTCCGAGATTGAGGTACAGTCAGATCTAGTACTACTTTTATTGGCTTTGTCTTTATGACTCCGTCTGATGAGCCGTGGTTTTTAGCCTGAAATTGAGTTTGATAAGTAGGGCATCTCATACCCGGTTAGAACTATCAGGCACATGGGCTTAATAAAAGTATGTATTAGATTCTTGACAGGCCCTTTGCTTGGGTAAAATAATAAAACCATGCAGTCTGAGAAACTATGTCAAAATTCTTGTATATTTCGATTCTTATGTAGTTAGACTACCTCTAAGGATATTGACTTGCTTGATCTACGATCTGGCGG